CTCTCTTCTCTACCTTGACTTAAATTTGCCTTTTATTACACCAACATAAATGTCCCACAAAAGATCATCTTTGTTTAACGGATATAAACATACACCATTTTTTTCTTGGAATTCTGAGACTTCATTTGTACAGAAGAATGCCTTTTTAAAACGAGATTTATATGTGGGTGTGTATGTTTTGGAGTATATGGTATGTGTGTGTGTGCTGTGTGCGTATATGTGCGTGTATGTGTGTTTGCGTGTTATTATTATCATTATTATTATTATTATTATTATTATTATTATTATTATTATTATTATTATTATTATTATTATTATTATTATCATTATTATTGTTAATGTTATTATTATTATTATCATTAGTATTATTATTGTTAATGTTATTATTATTAATGTATTATTATTATTAATTTTTCTTTATTATCTTTCTTGTTATCAATATATATAAATTTTCATGTTCCCTTTTTCAGCATAGTTTTGTGCTTGGTTTTATCGATCAGGTCGTGTTGCAGCGGGGTGGAATCAGGCGCTCATCAGTTTAAGCGCTTGTGGAGTTATTGCTATCTAATTGAAGCCTTTTTTTATTTTGCTTTGAACCTGGTGAAAAAAAACGTATTTATCTTGCAATAATTCGAGAGTTTTGTGTGATTTAAGAATGCAGGTGTCACTTGCTGCTTCAGGGGAAACCAACACTACTCCTACACGTTGTACACATAAACGTAATGAACATTTTGGCTTTAAACAACATTTTTTTGTCCCACAAAAATGTGTTCTTTACTGGATGAAGAAGGTTTCTGAGCATAAAGTAAAAAAAAAAAAAAAAAGAAGAAGAATAAAAAGGAAAGAATAAGAAAAAATCTCCCAACATACAGAAAAACACTATTTCTGCGTTCCCTAAAATTTGACGAACGCATGAATTCAACACGATGACCCACGATTGTTCTTGTATTTTTCACTAACTCGCTGGGCCTGTTCGATGAACGGACTCAAAACAATCGATCGTCAAAGTCATTGTGGAAACATTGCGCACTGCTTGTGAACGGAAGTCTCACTGGCGTCTTTGAAGACGGACTTTCCCAAGACTAGATCTAAACGAAACTACTGAAAAACTGAACATTAAACTGCAGTGACTTCAGACTCATGCATATAACTGTGCACCCTTTATATGATTCTGGACTAGCGTTAATTTTTTTTTTCAAAATCGAAAGTTAAGAGGTTGGGAAATTTTAGAAGTCCAAAGTGACGAACTTTCACAATATATAATATACTAGCTGGGCCCCCTTTCGAGGAAAGGAATGATCGGTACATTAACATCAAATGAAAGTCATTGGCCTACTATATTTATACTCTACTGGATTGGAGCAATACACCTTGAGACAAAAGCGACAGATGAGTTTCCAAGTTGCCAAATATCTAATAGATGTATAGATTGATTCTCTAGTCCGCTTTTATGGTTGTACACTCCAGAATTTCAACGGTGTGGAACAGAGCGCACGGCTAGTGAACGAAAACCTCACTTGTTAACAATGTCGTCTTAGAAGACGGACTTTCCCAGGATTAGCTCTAAATGAAACTAAAGAAAAACTTAAAATTAAACTACAGTGACTTCAGGCTCCTCAATAAAACTGTGCACCCTTTAAATGATTCAGAACAACCATTAATTTTGTCGAATTCGAAAGTTAAGTGGTTCGGAAGTTTTAGGCGGCCAAAGTGACAAACTTTCACAAATATAATATAAATCTTTAGAGGTAGAGATAAAATAGCGATATATTCTCCCTTCTATTACCGACATTGTGGAGTAGCTATTAGGCACTTTGCTGTCGCACTCAGAAGACCCGAGTTCTATGCTCATGTGGGGAGGATTTCAATCTCGTATCTTGGTTTGTCTGCGAGGACGTTGTACCTTTCACGGCCCAGGTCAGCCTGACACGCAGAGTCACAGCCCGCCTCCTAAATTGTCTCAACAGTTTGGACGTGGGAAGTAAAAAAAAAGACACATACTGGCGCTCATGTGACCTTCTGCAGTTGCGAGCGCCGTAAAACATCTACTGAAACGAAACAAAAAAGTAAAAACACATAATACATCAAAGATTCCTTCCTCTTGTTTTGATGAGAATATTCTGTCCGCTTTTGTGCTCTCGTCCTAATGAACAAAACATGAATCATCTTGAAGACTTGATTAATGATGCACCTACCTGCACTGTCTGCTCATGTGTTGTTTTCGTCTCATTTCTC